CTGCGCACCTCTGATGACTGCCCTGCCTGCGCACCTCTGACGACTGCCCTGCCTGCGCAGCCTTGAAGAATCCTTCTATCTGCATAGCCACGCATCACCAGCTAGAGCGCATTACAGTCCCAGTGGTCTGATAAGCAACCGAAAAGACCAGCACACAAGATCTAAATGTAGTGATTGGCTGATACGACTATATCACAAATATACTTTGTACAATTAAATAGGTAAAGAAAATCATTAGTCCTTATTGACATTTTATATTCTGACTGTCGGCAGGTGGCCCTTGTAACACAACTCGTCACCTCCAGCAGCTGTCTCTCAATCTACTCTGAAAATAACGACGTACCGGGAAAACCTGTCTCTCCAGAGCAGTGTTTGGCGCAGGAGTTCAAAGCCGCAGGACTGCCCAGCTAGTGTTCAAATTGAGACATAAACCTGCACGCTTCAATTCCATTTCCTTTCACTGGTTGGGCTCCCTTGACAGTTTTTTTTTAGCCAACTAACTGGCTGCCCCACCTGGCCGCTGTCTGCGTGCCGGCCCGCTGGCTCCCAGGCGAGGCGGTGAATACCTGCGCCCCCACAGCTTCTCTCGCAGAGCCGACAAACCGTGTCAGAAACCACGGACCGTGTCCCCCGTCATCTCGGGAGCAGTTCTCAGCATCGCACGCTGCTGTACAAGGGGCTCAGAGCCTCACTTCCAAGGATAGACAGGGAGATCATGGGAGACACGGCGCGGGGGCTGGCGGCGCGCAAGATCGAGACGCCGGGAGAAAAAAGCGATCACCAAGCTCGGTGAGGAACACGCGGAAAAAAGGCATCACCCCAAGTTTGGTCTGCGACAGATCCTGGTTTAAAATCTCCATGCGAGACGGAAACTGCAATTAGTTCTAGTTGGGGTTTTCATCGCAGATAGGGGATATCCACCTTTTTTTTTTCTCCAGCAGGCTAACTAATAAAGGTCCCAAACCACGTTCCACAGCAATAATCATTATTTTTGCAGGGATAGATAACGCTCGGGTGAACCAAAACAGACATTAATTCTCCGGATCAGGGAATTGTTTGCATTCCAGCAAAGTTCTACTTTTTGAGTCAGGTTGCTTATCTGTCTTTTAGGGCTTCAGTTTGAGAATGTAAGTTTACAGATGAACTGTCGAGAGAAATTAATATCCTGCTCCTTGCGGGGTTTCTGATTAAACAAACAGTATTATCACGAGCCTATAAATGTGACAATTCTTTTAAAAATATAAACGGAGCAGGACTGCGGAGGTGCTGTGAATTATTATATGCATTAGTCAATAGTCATAATAAAGGTGTGATGAATCACCCAGAGTTTCCTGCTTCCAAAACATTTCAAACAGCTGAGTAAACTGGTCTGTGTGAGCTGACACTTCAAGTACAAGTATATTTCAAGGTTCAGTTAAAGGTTATCATGCCTTCATACTTTTTCATTAGTTGCGGTCTGACAATTTAGTTCACTGGTTTCTTTAGAATTGGGGTGTTTAGGGGGACACTTCTAAAGGCCTATAAATAAAACTCACTTGTTTCTGACGCAGCACAGGAGTCGAGACTGTTGAGATTGAACTCCATCAAGGTTATGTGAACGTTAGCCAAAGGGAAGATCACTGCTGCTGTCAGTGGACCACAGATACCCTGTAATCTACACGTAGCTCATTTTCTAATGAAAGCTACACAGGAAGTAGGGTGAAATGTCATCTTAAGGCATTTTTCACCTACAGCTTTTGTCCTTTCAGTCCTGTTTGCTGTCCGCATGGATTGCAAATTAGTTGTGCATTTTTATGGATCTGCTTTGTGGTTAGTCAACCAAAATAAAACCTGAATAAAAATGTGAAATAAGAGGTTTCTAAACATAACGCCACATTTACAGTACTTGGCCACAAATGGACTACACTTGTAGAAGTAAGTTTACAAATTAAAGTTGCACATTACATTTGTAGTTTTACCATATTACACCAGCTGTTGGCTTTTCTTCCCTATGATTTTCCACAGTCTGTAACTTCACCATGTTTTTACAGTAGTTCAGTGCCTCACTCTTCTGGGAGATCACAGTTTATTATACTAAACTATTAGAATAGTAATCACATCTTTGAACAGTTTTAAAGAGGGTGAGTTTTTCCTGGAATGGCCTCTTGTCTGCTGCAGGAGGTCCTGTGGATTATTTGTTCTTCCTGTTGTTTGCTTTAACAGGCTAATTCTCCCCAAGATTTGAGTTCTGCACTTCAAAAGGAGGAAACTGAGCAATTTCATAGCCTCAGGGACAAACTGTCACAGAAATAAGAGTCGTTTATAGTTTGAAAACTTGAAAGTAAAGTAAAACCACTGGTACAATCATAAAAAAAAATCCATTTATAATACTCGAGCCATTTCTCCACCTTAATAAAAAATTACATTTTTTGTCTGGATTAGATCTTTTAAACCGGGCAGGTCAGTAATGATTAACATATTAATATATATATATTAATGATGAATATGTAATTAACAGTAATTATCCAGTATGTTGCAGTGTTAATCGAGGACTGTTGCCAGAGAGGAACTCTGCTGTAACCGAAGGTCACAGTGGCCAGTTTCTGGTCCAACACCTGTTCAAATTAGATCGTGAAGAGCCAAAGACAGAGCCCTGGTTCTGCCACATGGACTCCAGCCCTTTTCCCAACATCTTCAAGCCAAGAAGATGATAACTAGGCGACTCCCGTACATGGAAGAGCTGAGAGCCTCCCTGTCTTTGCTAAACCAACAATTAGCAATATCCGTTGACTAAAATCAGGGAGTAAAGTGCTTTACGCCTCAATAACTAAGGAAGGCAAAGGAATTGGCACAAGGGTTTTGTTTGTTGAAGTGCATTTACTCGTCCTAATAAAGATACACAGTACTAGAAGACTGAACTCTCTTCCGTGCATGGCAAACACATACCACCTGAAGGTTGACGTCTTTTTTCACAAGACAGGAAGTCCTCCCCAAACCGCCACCCGGGGCAGATAAAACCAGGAAGTTGAGAGTCCATGTTACGTTTTTTATTTTCCGAGTTCTAGGGGAGGGTGGGAGTGTGTGATCACTGACTGGGAGAAATGAAAACCTCGGGGCTCACATGGCTCCCTTCTGCAGGGAATCGAATTTGTCTTCTGTCTTTTTTTTTTACTTCCAGCGTCAAAAGATGAATTAGTTTGCCAAATACGCTAATGTGCTCTCGGGGCCTCTGCACTCAGATGGGACACACGGAGGACCTTCAGAGATGATTTTTAGCCAGCTGCTGAACTACTGCGAGTTTGTCAGGCAGGGGCCAGGTGATTTATTTCCGCTGGGGTAGAGCCCTAGCCCTAAAGTTCATAGCAAAACCGCGGTGCGACAGGGAGCCCTATGGAAGGTCATTCTTGCCTTCTGCTATAAGACTGTACAACTCATCCACTGTGTGTCTGGGCAGGGGCAACACTGACATTGACCTGGTTTT